AAACCAACAAAAGTTTGTAAAGATTCGTTCTTATTAGTCTTTAACACTGACTTATGATCGGTTTACTAGATTTTCGATTCATTTTCATAACTTGATGAAGAAAAACTTTTTTCGCCTAGAACTTAAATTTGAAACTTCATGATTTGATTTTTCGAAAACTGCCAACAAATAAGTCGGAAATTCCGGAAACCAATCGAAACTCGGCGCTAAAAGTCCATAGCGACGAACACTTTTAGGCTTCTACGAATCTCACTGAAATCTTTTTCGAAGCCTAATACAAGTTCATAAGGCAGGTGTCACCTGGAATAAGTCATTAACATCTGCAAGATGTATAAAATTTCCGCTCAAAAGGAAATGGAATTCATATTTTCAAAAGTTCTTAAAACAACGAATAAGTAATCTCTCATTCATCATTTTCAATCACATTGTGCTAAAACTTAAAAGAGAAAATGTTAGTGTTAATGTATCATGATGCGTAGAAAGGCAACAAGTGTGAGATAAAAATATCTGTTAGGAAAAAAAGAACACCTACGCTGACGACATTTTTTGTTCGGCTAATTCACAGATTACTACTCTTATCTATATCAATGAACAGACAACAAAATATCACCTTAAGATAAGTCTTATCTTTGTATTAACATATTCGTAAAAAAAATAGAGCTAATTTGTCAAAATGAAAAAAAAGATCTGTATAGTCTAATTATTCAACATTAATANGCGCTAAAAGTCCATCGCGGCGAACACTTTTAGGCTTTTACGAATCTCACTGAAATCTTTTTCGAAGCCTAATATAAGTTCATAAGGCAGGTGTCACCTGGAATAAGTCATTAACATCTGCAAGATGCACAAAATTTCCGCTCAAAAGTGAATGGAATTCGTATTTTCAAAAGTTCTTAAAACAACGAATAAGTAATCTCTCATTCATCATTTTCAATCACGTTGTGCTAAAACTTAAAAGAGAAAATGTTAGTGTTAATGTATCATGATGCGTAGAAAGGCAACAAGTGTGAGATAAAAATATTTGTTAGGAAAAAAAGAACACCTACGCAGACGACATTTTTTGTTCGGCTAATTCACAGATTACTACTCTTATCTATATCAATGAACAGACAACAAAATATCACCTTAAGATAAGTCTTATCTTTGTATTAACATATTCGTAAAAAAAATAGAGCTAATTTGTCAAAATGAAAAAAAAGATCTGTATAGTCTAATTATTCAACATTAATAACATGCCTTCTCAATTAAAGTATCATAGAATATATCGACTTTTATTATTCAAATTTTTTGCATTATACAAACAATCAAAAAACAGAAAAATCTTTTGTATGCATATTTTTTCCGACAAAATATTCTCATTCCATTCCACATATTTGCACTCCTGATATTCTTTTGTAGATATTTTTAAAGACGCACACACACACAAAAAAAGGAAAGAAAAATGGAATAAAGCAAAAGAAAAAAAAATGATCTTCTAGTTTAATAGAAAGAAAAGAACAAAAGCCATACATAAACACAAAATAAATGATTAAAAATACCTAAAGAAAACAAAATAATGCTTGGATGTTTAAGAATTCTTAAAGAAAATTGCAATTATGATCCATGTCCTATAAATATAGAGCATCAAAAATAAATAAATAAAGAAGAAAGAAACCAAAGATCAATCAGATCTAACCATATTTTAATTGACGTTCAGTCTTCAGTTGTAAAACCTTTTCTTTCACCATGTGTTCGTTCTTTATTAAGTTCATCAACAGTCGCTGCTTCAAGTGCTCGAATATCTTGCATTGTTAAACCATACCATTCATCTGTCCAACAAAATAATTGTCGATGAAAATTACGAAATAAACGTTCTTCTTGAGTCATAATTAAACTTTCAACACGTGTTTGAAGACCAAACCACTTAAATTTTTCACGAACTAATTTATAACAACACCTAAAACACAAAATAATAATTATAAAAAAAAATTCATTCTATTTGATATATTAAATAAAAGCTTACATATGTGGTTCACATGTTTTAGACCATAGCTCACTTGATAATAATGGACCACGACCAGTTTTAATTGATTTAAATTTTTCAGGATCATCTTCAGGTTTATAATCTGCTCGGCTTACTTTGTCAGCAATATTTATATAAACAACATGACGTTTTTTAAGATCATCACCGGTTAATTGATGGACATTTTCTGATTCACCACGATCAGGTAAATGCAATGTTGATATATCAATAATCATATTCTCTTTCATATATGGATTTTTAAGAACTGTTTTACAATATGGATATGCATTCCATGCTTCTTCATGCATTGATAAACTTGAATCAGAAAATATATAACGAACCCAACTTGGTACACGTGAACCAAGATGATAAATTTTATTTGTATATTGACCAGTATTATATTTGCCAAGAAATGCTTCTGGCATTGGTTTTTCAAATGGTTCATTAGCAAGAATTTCTACACCTTCACCACCACCGGTATTTTGTTTAGATACTTTAGCTGTTGCATATAATTGTGCAACTTGATATTCTTCAACAGTCATTGGTAAAATAATTCGAAATTCGGTGATAAGCATTTCTAGTGGAATAAGATATTAATTATCTATAATAAAAAACAAAAAAAAGAAGAAAGAACAATGTGTCGTTTTTTTTTTCTCATTGTTTTTTGACGGCTAATATTTTCAATAATAGATTATTTTTTCCATCATGATATGTTGACACTCATTTCAATTTTTGATATTACTTGTCGTGGCAACACATGCAACTATGTAGACTTTATGGCAATAGCAAATGAAAATAAGAGAACAGAAAGATTCGTTCGTGCTTACTTGTATCTTCGCTTCTGCATTTGTAGACATTCTCTTCGTCAAACATTGCATTTTATTTCGTCTTCAGTAATCTATCTTTCTTTCTTTCTTATTCTTTGTGTCTTGTATGCTTTCGTCTACAAACAAATGACTCATCAGGTTCAAACAAACGACCTCTACGATCAGTGGCTCCAAAAATGATTCAACTAAGTTTATTTTCGGCTTTCTTTCGCTTCTATAGACGCTAAGAAGAGTCTAAACAATAATATGAATAGAGAACTTTATGTTTCTGAAAAGCCAAGATCAGAATTTTTCTGTTCCTCGACTTTGCAAATAGAATTCTATTTGAATTACTTAGATTAATAGAACAAATAATTTTTCTACAAAATGAAATGTTTTCAAGCTTTCGACGACGTTTCTAAACCAAGATATATTCATCTTACGAATAGTACAAAAAAAAATCGTTTTCTTTTTCTACTATTTCAATCGAAAAGTATCACAGAGAGCTCGAAGATATTGTATTTCGCTGAGATTTACTTGGTCTATCATTCTAAATAAATTAAGTAAAATTCTCTTTGCAAATTTTAGTAAATAAAAAGTTTAGGTATTTGGTTTTCACACAGATTCTATCCATAACAAACTATCTATTATTTTCATCTTCGAAAAAAAACTTGTTAGAAAAAAAATTCTCTACTCAAATATCTATTTCAATTCTTCTTAGTGTTTACGAAAGCAGAAAACTATTGAAAGTAAATCTAGTCGAGTGATTCTTGACTGTCACTGCACATATAATATTCTAGGCAAATTGAATTTTAGGCTAAATTAAACTTAGAGTGAATTTACTTTTAATTAAGCACAAAACTACGAAATAATTTTCTTTTATGTAAAAATAAATTCTAATTTTCGCTTGCGTTAAGTAAACATCACGTACTTAGTTTTTATGTTAACTAGACAAAATATTCATTTCCATTTATTCATATTATAAAGTATGCACTCAATAACTTCTTCTACGGCGACATCGAAAAATGATTTTTTTGAAACTATTCTTATAAAACAAGTTTAATTAATCTTTTCAAGTTTTAGAGTGCTAAATTCCGAGACACGATGAGACCAGATATTTTTGGTTCCGATTCCGGTCAAAAAAAAATTTTTGATCCTGGTTTCGCCCCTACCGATATATGTACTAGCAAAAAATACGATCTCATTTTTTAGTAGTATCCACAATGTCCAGACTCTAGATATCTTGCACGACTCCTAAATATCCTCCCTCGTTAATATTTATTCATTTTTTTAAAATTTACTTATACTTCGTCTATTCGGTACGTTTATGTGTTCGGCAACTATGTTGTTGTTTATGAAAAAAAAGAACTAAATAATACTACGAAAATTGTAAGAACAAATATTGAAGGGATCGTTACTCAATAATTTTCGTATAAACTTTTAGAACACTTGAATCGTGAGAAAATGACATTTGACTCAAGTTTTACACGATTATAAAAGATACCATTCCAAATGAAAAAGTATTGGTCGTGGTCCCGGACACGGAGGACTCTAATCGTCTGAAAAATGTGTAGGGTGCGCTAGTCATCGAATACAACATCACCAGTAAAAAAAGGATCTCATATCTTTGGAGTAACTATTCGATTCTGATTAGAAAATTGTCATCAAAGAGTATCAAAGAACGATTCGATCGAGTTCGAAAATTTTAAATTCAATGGAATCTATCTATGAACCGAGTGAAATTCAAAGATAAAAATTGATAAAAAATGCTACTCAATTTTTTTACTTGGAACTTGTTAAGACAAACTAGATTTTAATTTAACATTGGCCATAACTTAACATGAATATAGAAGATTAGTTGTTTATTCTCATCTTTTTCGATTTTTTAAAATTTGTTAAGAAATCTGTCTAATTTTACCTAAATCTCAAATTTGCCTCCCATGTATATTCCTCCTTTCAATTTTTACGCACACACAATAAAACTAATTCAACCAATGCAAAAAAAAATGTTATATATTTCAATGATTTCTTTATGTTTCTTTTTTTTTTTTTTTTTATTCAATTTGAGCCTAATGATATAACAATGTATTACTACTACTATTGTTGATGTTGTCGTTTATTTGTAGTAATATAATTTTTATTCTTGTATTAGGCTTGATGATTCTTAGGAAAAAAACCATGCTTTAACTAAATCACCAGCCAGGTGTAGTGCTTGGGACAGCAGCTGCTGCACTCCAATCTCTTGGTTCAACCGTAGTTCCAGTGGCTCCTGCAGACCAATTTTCATCGGCAGATGCACCCCAATTATCTTGATTGCCTGCAAAATTTTCGGAAGCAGGCATTATTGATGGACCATCATCATAATAATTTGCATCTGATGTATGTTGTTGTACCTCACGCTCTTGGCCAGTAACGCCGACTTGATCTTCTTTTTCAGTCTTTAAATGAGAAAAATAATTTTACAAAAAAAAACAGCAAGAATTTTTAGTCTAGATATTTACTTCTTCTGGATCACGATAGAAAAATAAATCAACCATAACATCCCATGGAGCTTGACGATTAATTTCTCCACGTAATCGAAGTACTTCACGTGTTAAAAACCACCACATAAGACCAATAGATTTATTAGCCTAGAACAAAAAAAAAAGTGAATAATATTTCTTCAAAAAATTTAAATTCTACCTTATTATTGCATGGAATAGCAATATCGATATACCGAAGTGGTGTTGATGGGTCACAAAAAGCAATAACAGGAATATTGACAAATGAAGCTTCACTTACAGCTTGATGATCAACATGTGGATTAGTAATAATAATTAGGCGTGGTTCTTTGAATGCAGCCTGAATTTGATTTGTAAATGAACCAGGTGTAAAACGACCAGCTATTTAAAACAAGGAACATTACTGTAATTAATTACATATATTTATATATAGGTTTCTCTTACCAATAGCTGTAGCACCTGTATATTTAGCAAATTTCAACACAGCACGTTGACCTAATTAATTATAAATATTAAAGAATAAATTTTAAAAATAAAAATAAAAATTTCTTTACCTTGAGGTTGACATGAAATGGCGCAAACATCAGCTGGATTTTCCACAGCAACAATAGCTCGAGCAGCAAGCATAAGTTTTTCCCAAAATTTACGGATATTAATTACAGATGAACCTTCACTTCTTGGTTTTTTCTTCCATACATAGGTATCCATTTGATAATCAACATCTTTTGAACCAATATGAAGTTGTGCTGCAAGGATTTTAAGCACATCATCTTCTTTCATTTGAAGTACTGAATAACCAGACGTCATCTTTGCTTTCGTTTGATGATCTAAAATTGAGAAGGAAACCGAAGAAAAATGATTTACTTGTACCAAGACAAAAAAAAATCTATTTAAAACGAACGATGGCTTATAAAGAAGTAAAAATAATAGAAATCGTAAACAATTTAGATTGATTACTATTGGAGAACAAATATCAATATAACATTTAGTTTTCTACGGAATTTTAAATAATGGAAATTAGTTAAATATAATATTATTTTAAATTTAAGAATATTTATTAATGAAATACTTTATTTACTTGTTGAATAGATGGCACTAGTGTCTTGAAGTCAAACATGACTAAGTCACAATAAAACAAATTCAATAGTATTCTTTAAGATAATGTGTATACAAGATTTGTTCCAGGCATCGGGCAATGAAGAAAGAGTGTTGCGTTTTTTCGGAAGAAGAATGTAAAGATTTTTTTTCTAAAAGAACATGCAAAAAATTTTCAGGTCTACTGAGAAAAAAAATTGCTTGATTGGAGAATGTTACACACGCACCCTGGTCGGACCATCCCTGAGTGACTAGTCTAATTTACATTCAATGCTATATCAGCTAAATAATCTAAAGCGTGAATTGTATTCTAATGAAGACTACCCTCGTTATTTATGATTATAAATTGTTTATCAATGGTAATTAGTGGTCTATAAATATCTATAGAAAACGTGAAGTTTTGTCGTGTGGAATATGATTATATATTAAAGTAAAACTAATGCATGCCGTTCATTCATTATGACATTTTTTTAATGAAAGGTCTCACAAACAGAAACCCTTTCATTTTAACTAGCATAATTGCTTTGTTTTTTTTTTCCTTTTAGTAAAGATTTTTCTAGAAACATCTATAAACAATAGTTTTAAAAGTAATGAAAGAAGACATTATGGAATCTTTTTTTCTAAAGGTTCACGTCATGGAATATTCAGTTTGCATTACTTGCAGTTACTGTTAAGTCTATCAATGAACAATGTAGATTTCAAAACTAGTCAGTATGTCTCATGTCTAACCTGAAAAGATCACTAAATTATTATTGTTCAAACCAGAAAACATCGTGATCGCATCTAATCTTATGCTAATATGAATCTTCTAAAGAATAGACAATTTCTTCTACTTCTAGTCTGTTCGTATAGTATACTTTAAAGATAGCTCTTTCTTTTGGATGCTTTTTCAGAACGATTAGTCGAAAAATTCTGAAACTTTTTCGATAGATAGATCTCGAATAAGCTAGTAAAAATCTTGATATACTCAAAATTTCAAAATGCTACTTCTCATGAAAATCTATAGGGATCACAAAGACCACAAAAAAAAGCTTATATGTCGCTCCCTTTTTCTCTTATCTACTACGTCCAATTGGTATGAAATTGTTTTTTCTCGCAATGGACATTATTAACACTAGAGTTCTCAGCAGTGTCACATATCCAAGATTTTGGAGATGCCACCACATCTCCTGCGGAAGATGCCGCATCTCGCGCGAGAGATGCGAGTGTGGGTGTGGGGGATGCGTCTCTCTAAAGGAGTTCTTACATCTCCAGTGGTGAATGACCTCATCGCCCGAGTGTGGGTGCCGCGTCTCCCGC